CAAGCCCGCCACGGGCGCCCGCGGCTCGCCCCCCTCTTCCCGCAGGGACCCATCCAAAGCGATTAGACCGGCCGCTTCGTGCACTAGCACAACCCGGAACGCCACCTCCTCCCCCAGCCCGAGTACTTCCTTCCCTTCTGTGCCCACCCAGGCTTCCCGGTCGTAGTCAAATGCGTAGGCGTCGGGCATGTCCTCCCTGGCAATCGCCGCGTTGAACAGGCCGTACACCAACAAGGCCACGTGCGTGGACGTGACCTTGATCACCACGCCCGTCAAGGACATGCCAGGCTCCGGCGTAAAGACCAGGGAGGTGGCTTCCACCCGCACGTGCAAATGCGGCAAATCCCCCATCATGCTGGCGAACCTCCGGGACGGAGGGAAACGCACCTGGGATAGAGTGAGCAAGATCCCGCCCACGTCCTGGTTGTACTTCATGAGCATGCCGTGAAGTTTCTCGTGTATGCTTTCCTCCAAATTGCCCATCGCGTCCGGAAGGAGGGCCAGCTTAAACAGGACTCGCTGCTCTTGGAAGGGAACCTGGATAACCGGGGACGGGACGATTTTGTCGTCCTCGCCGGCAACATCGTTCCCTTTTTCTTGATTCACGCGTCGTCGTTTCGGCATGGTGGGTGCTCGACTGCGAAGAGGAGCGGATGGAGGGAAGGCAGGGGAGGTTGAGTGAGGAGGTGGAGGCGATCGATCGAATTGTCTCCGCGTCAATTTAGCCTCAGAAATGCTTCCAGAAGAGTAGATGTGAAAGAGTCAGCATTTGAATTGCTTGATTGGACAGTGGACAGTGGGATGCCCCCTGCAAACAGTGCTAAACGGGCTCATAAAGTCATTTAACTCGGTAAGATGCCAGGGACGAGGGAGGTGCCCGCTGAACAGTTAAAGTCCCTCACATCGGTAGAAAAAAAATATTGTCGACATCTCTCTCGATTATTCTGCCAATTTTAAGCGCTATACGACCGTGTTTTGGTGAAAGGGAGGTCGATACAGGAAATTTCATCAGCCATGACGTGCCGAGTATCTCTCAAAAATGGTCCTTGCGGCCCAACTCGCTCGGTTGCAATCAAAACCCAGGCTCGATGGACGCGTGCCTCACGCACGCTTTCCCACCCCACTCCACTATCGCGATCTACCACCATAGGTGTCGAGGCGATGAGGTCATGGGCTTGGCAATGGTCCCGTTCCTTGAGAGGGGCCGGGTCAGCTGGCCTCCCTTTCTGCCTTTTGCCCCTCCTTTCCCTCGGATCCCTCCCCCCCGTCAAGTCCATCTTTACAAGTGCCATGACACCGTCCACCTTCCTTCGGCCTCCCTCTTGGTGGCCTTCGTGCATCTCGGTCAAAGGGGTTCCGGCCCCGCGACACGACCTGGGAAGCCTCTCCTCTGCCAGTCTACGTAATGGGCGGAGACGGTCGAGGCGCATGTTTTCTTCCTCCTCCGCGTCTTCCTCCCCTTCGTCTTCTTCTTCTTTCTCCTCCTCCATCCTGTCTTCCGCCGAGACGCCCATTCAGGACCCCGCCGAGCTCAAGCGGGCGCTCGCGGAGGCCGCACGGGCCATTGAAGCCAACACCGCTGCCTTAAATCTGCCCAAAATCATGGGGGAAATCGATTACTGCGAACAAGAGGCAGCCCAGGAGAGTTTCTGGGAGCGGCCGAGGGAGGCTCGGGAGAAAATGAGCGTCTTGGCCGGGCTGCAAGGCACGGTGGCCCGTGTGGACCGATGGCGGCGACAGTACGAGGACGTGGCGACCGCCCTGGCCCTGTGGGAGGAAGGAGGGGGGGAGGAATGGGGAGAGGAAGGGAAGGAAGGGATGCGGAGACTCCAGCAGGACTTGGTCACGTGGGAGGTGGATCAGCTTTTGTCGGGCCCATACGATGCCTGTGGGTGCCGAGTGGCCATCACTGCGGGGGCGGGGGGCACTGACGCCAGCGACTGGGCGGGGATGTTGCTGCGGATGTACTTGAGGTACGGGGAGAGGAAAGGATGGAAGCTGCGAATGCTGGAGAAACAGGTGTCGACGGAAGGGGTGGGGATCAAGGGGGCGCTGTTGGAAGTGGAGGGGGAGAAGGCGTACGGCTTATTGAAAGCGGAGGAAGGCACACACCGCCTGGTCCGGATCAGCCCTTTCAACGCGGCGGGGAAGCGGCAAACCTCCTTTGCAGGGGTGGAAGTGATGCCCATCCTGTCGGACGAGCGGCTGGAGGACGTGGTGCTGGCGGAGGGGGAGGTGGAGATGACAACCTTTCGGTCGGGCGGGGCGGGGGGGCAGAACGTCAACAAGGTGGAGACGGCGGTGCGACTCAAGCACTTGCCCACCGGCCTGGTGGCTCGGTGCCAGGAGGAACGTTCCCAGATGTTGAACCGGAAAAAGGCGACGGCCCTGCTCAAGGCCAAGCTCTTGGCGGTCAAAGAGGCGCAAAGGGTGGAGGCCCTGGCAGAAATCCGGGGCGACCTGATCGAAGCCTCGTGGGGGCAGCAGATCCGAAACTACGTTCTGCATCCGTACAAACTCGTGAAGGATACCCGGAGCGGGCGGGAAACCCCCGACGTGTCGGGCGTTTTGGACGGGGGGGAGGTGCTGGAGGACTTCATCGGGGCCTACCTACGGTTGCGGGCGGCGGAGGGGAAGGAGGAAGGAGGGTGAGGGGGAGGGG